GGGGGAAATTAATTCGCCATGCCAGAGTTTTTTCTAGTTCTACAGCCCCTCTTTACACAAGTAGCAGAAAGAGAAGGTACAAGGGATCCTAAAGTACCTTAAGCACACAGACAAGGAAGCTCTGATTCTCTGAATCCTGAGAATTTGGAATGAAAGGCCCCAACCTTCCCCCCTCACCCTGGCTGATGGCAACTTTTCCAAAGGAAACACTTGTGGTCCAATCTAATTGATGTCTCTACCCCATCCCTGAGAAGAATAAAGTAACAGAGAGGGGCCAGGAAGCAGTCATCAATACTCAAAGCAGCCTTGATGCTGGGGAGAGGGAACTATCCCCTTAACAAATGTCTGACAAATCCTCAAGGAAGTGTTTTCCACACTGGATTCACATTTTTCCCCCCACAATCAAATTTCTGATTTGTGAATGCAAATTACACACTATGCCTAAAAGACTTTGAAAAACTCAAAGGAAGATGGGAAAACTACTAATTAATCCACACTCCTTCTGAGCAATGGAGAGATCCTAGAGGGGAGACCCAGAGCCATCTCCATACATCCTACAGAAATACTGTACATGATACTGCCTAATTTAATAGTCACCAGCACACACACACTCCTGAGAATTCCAGCACTGACGGCTTTTCATAGTATCAACTCTTTACACACATAAAAGCCCACCTTAATGACCACAATTGTTTCTGTTTGTACTTATATACCATTCAGTATGCAAATCAAACATGCTAATTTCATGCGCTGCACTACCCATGTTCTCCTGTGGAATGATACATTCCAGTAAGAAGCCCTATGTGCTGTATTCTTGTTTTTAATTAAAAAGTTTACCATAATCAATATAAAATATATCCCTTTCTAAAGATAAGCTTCCAGACACCACCTGCAACACTAGATTCCCAGAGGTTTTGGAGTAAACAGCCTCTCATGAGAACAGCAGAACCAGGAAATATTCCTCTTGACAGGCAATCATACAAGCCATTTTCTTTCTCCCATTTGTAAATGATACAAAAAGCACTTTGCAAAAACAGTTTACTACCCTAAGAAGAAATATTGGCAAAATAATTAATTTGTACCTGTCTTGTGTTTCAGCAACTAGAAACAAACCATAACTAGCAGCACGTAACCAACCAATTCTCCACAGATTAACTGCAAACCCAGTATGTTTTAAGAAATGTTCTGATTTATGTAGCCTGTTCTTTGAGATTATTTCTGAACATAATAGATGTAAAAGAAAGAAGAAAATATTCACAAAGCTGAACAATGGGATAATAAGCCTGTGAACAACCAGGCAACTTAGAACTGGATCCATGGGAGAGCATTATGTCATCCTAAATATATTGACCTAAACAGCCAACTCTTTTCAACTTTGAGTACTCTATTTACATCACTTTGCAGATATGGTTTAAGGCATTTTGTTTGGATGTAGTGGCTCTCCTTTTCATGTTGAAATGAATGAGACATTTCAGAAACACATATTTTGTTACATATTTGTACAGGTACATGCAGCTACAGTTTCTATGCAGGATATTTTCTTAGAACATGCCAGAGATGACCACTAAACTGTATCAGTTGATATCAAAATAATATCTCTTCCAGTCGTGAGCTCAAATACAATACAAATTTAAAAGGCAAACTGTTCTCCAGGTAATAAACAGCCATAAATAGTTTTAGAAGTGACTAATTCAAGCATCTATTCTTAATTTGGTGTGAAACTCACCTCCGAAATCAAATCAACAGATTTTGCATTTGCTGTAGTTGTGACAGAAGTCAATGGCCTTAAAATGTTTTCACCTCTCAGAAGTGGTGAAGGTTCAAGCCAAAATGTCTGTTTAAGCAAAATCTTTACATCATAGTAACTAACCCAAATCTGTTACCCTCTAAAACACACACAAGTCTTCAGTAATTTGAAGAGCTGCCTAACAGTAAGAAATTCACACCCCTGAGGCAGAAGCACCACATCACACTTAGTAGTTATAAAGAAAATTCAAACCTAGATATGCCCAGAACAAAAAGCAAGACAGCCCAGTCTTTCAGCTGGGAAGATTCACAGTCCTGGATTTGGCCATATGAGGAGTCACTTTATAGGAGCTGAATTATGAACTTAAAAGTGAAGATGGAAAGGAAGGAAAGTCTGACCCTTGAATACTCAGGGTACATCATCACAAGGAAATCAAAGACTGAACTCACATTCCTGTTTTAGCCAGCAACAATTTTTTTTCATAAATTAGAATTTCCTTGCAAATTCAGTAGTGATTCAAATGCAAAATTCATGCTTATTAGTATCTAAGTATATGACAACCTGGTTTTAGCAGCTAATAGTGCAATAAATAGTTTGGTGAATTAAGTATTTATTTTATGTGCTGCTGGACATTGTATTAAATTTTACATAGAACAATTACCTTTTCCTTCTAGTTTTAGAAAACTACACCACTATCCTCTGTATAATGTAAACCACTTAGAAATATCAATGCTTCAGTTTTGTAACAAGACTGTATCCATACACATGGATGGAACAATGGAACATGGTTTGCTACACTAACATAATAGGAACTAGGGAGAAAACACAAATTTAGTAACAGGTTTAGTGATATATTCCTGATTTTTGTTTTCAGTCAACATATTGATGCTTGACTTAAAGAAAAAGTGGCATCCTCTTTCCACAGAGGATACAATTTTGAGCATCTTTCAGAATTGAATTAGATCAACTTTAACTGTTGTTAAAAACTGTCCTTTCTCAGACCTACATACATGACAAAAGACTTAGGTAACACACAGAACAGTCACCTTAGCCAATGATTTTCCCCTTTTATGTATCACAAAAGACAACTATCGTCATTTTCTATACTACCTGAAAAATAAGTATAGGAGATGGCAAAAGCATTACACCTGATACTTACCAAGTGACATAGTACTACAGAATGGCCTTTGTGATCTGAAAGGGTTAATTGCTGCTTTTAATTGCACCCAAATAACTTTAATGAAAGTGAATACTGCAGCAACATCTATAAACACAGTGACCACATTAGCAGAACACCAGTTATGAAACCCCTGCCAACACTCCTTGTACAGGGATTTTTTTGTTTTAATCATGGTAAGAAATCTCACCAAGTTCTGCTGTTTAGGTTATTTGCAGAGCCCTGCAAAAAAATCTGTAAGACTAGGCAGCTTTAAAGAATGTAACATGCAATAGTAACCATGACGATAAGAAAACTGCTTTTGCTAATCTTTTTCTTTCAGTTGACAATACTTTCAAATACTGGTGTTTTTCCACTGGATTACAACTTTTGTTTGTTTTTCCCTGTGAATCTAAGCCTCCCACCCTAGTAAACCTGAAGCTTCTGACCAAGTAAACAGCAATTCAGGATGCACTAAAAACACAGAATGAGTCCTAACCATCCACCAGCATCTGAAGTGACTATGGTAGGACAGACATCACTTGCTGGCAACTCTGTCTTATTCCACTGTTGTACTGAATAGTTATTAAAAAAATAATTACATTTTAAAGATAATTACTTTGCAAGTAAATAGGGAATCAAAAAAAAAACAGAAATGGAGATTGTACATAGGGTATTTCTATGGAGATCATAAAACTGCTGAGGTAGGTTAGAATTTGGCCCTAGGCAGGCACTTTAAGAAAACAGCCTGGAACTCCCCTGCATTGATTTTGTCTTGGGTTTTTATTAAGTTGGAGTTTTTAAGCAATAAAAAAATGAAAGAAATAAAGATTCTTCAGAGATTAATCTTTGCTCTCTACTATTTCTCCAACAGACTTGCTCACCAAACTAGGATAATGCTTTCAAAAGATGTATGGGATAAGATCTGAAGTCACATTTTGAAAAGTGACTAAAGGACCGATTTTCAAAGGCATTAAGATACCTAAAGATGCATTAAGCACTTAGAATTTTTAAAACTGCCTGGGCATCTAACGCCTATTTAAATCACTTAGTCCTTTCTGAAAATCCCAATGGGCAGTTATCTACATTTTATGTGTCTATATGCCTTTGAAAATCTGTACCATTAAATACTTAACAACCTAAGTCCCCCTGGCTTTTAATGGGACTTTGAGTCCTAAAAAGTGTAAGTATGTCTGAAAATTGGTCAAGCCACTCTCTCTGGTCTTTTTTTCTTTCTTTTAAAGAGCCATCTACTAATGCTTACCCATAGTATGTCAGTTAACTACAGCTTCAGCACTAATTTGCACACTGTACTGTGCACATTCTATTTCTGTTATGTAGCTAAACAAATAAAGGTCCTGAGTACAGACTGCGTCCTTACAAGACTTTCTGGAACTCCTAAAAAGAAATGGAATTCCAACCTGTAACTCCAGTGAATGCTCAAAAGAATCATGTTTTCAATAAATATAATCCAAAATTATCAGAATTTAGAATGATAAAGACCAAACATCATAGTTCAAACACCAAGCAACATAGTCAACATACAACAAAAAAGTTCTGAAAGACAGCCACACAGCAACAAAAAACACTAGAAATAGGAGGAACTTGTGAACAGGCTCTTGGAACACGCAGCAGCTCCAGAAAAGACAAGCCTTAATTCTGAATTTCCTTTTTTTTAAACAGAACTGTATGAAACTATAAAGCATTCCCTTATGCAAACATTTGAAAGATCTTCTGATCTTCTGTAATGTCAATAGGAGGCAACTTGAACTGACCACATTCCCAAAAAGGAACTGATTTGTAAATTGGGAACGAAGGGAATCAGATTGCCACCTACAGGAAAATTTAGCATTTATTGTCAAGAATGACTCAAAAGAATACAAATTGCCATCCTGCCAAGCACTCTTTCAGTTTCAGTTATTATTACAAAACCAATTAGTCTTTCCTTTTGTGCAACTGTATCATGCACTTCCTAAATCCAGGAAGCCATTATAATTTATTTTTATTTATGAAAGTATTGCTTTAAAGTTTCATAATTCAATTACACAGCAGTGGATTGTAATCATGTTTCAGTTAAAGAATTTTAAGTCTGCTTACCTGATACAATTGGTGCTAGCCTGAATATGTCTGATAGTCTGCTGTTAACTGGCTCATAAGGGGAATCTTCAAGCAAGTCATTTCCTAGAGACAAAAATATTTGGAATTTTTTATTATATGAGAACTCAGGATAAGATTTTGTTATCTACTTTTACTCTGAAACAAAGTTACTCTGTAACAGCAAAAATGTGCTTTTAAAGGGGACTTTAACCTGTTTATGTGGCTACTTCTCCTCCAAGCATTATCTACAAAAACATCTGAAAGAGGCTAGTTGTTTACCCTGTCAGTACATCTTTTCTCTCCTTCCTCTTTGGAGAAGGTCATAATTTGCAGAGACAGCCTGTGACATCACAGGGACTGTCCCAGCTCATGAGATCAGGAGAGAAGCTGTAGCAAGGCTGTTCCTCTCCATTCACCCTAACAGCAGAGTTCTCTCACAGAAAAGGCCAGTTAACAGCTAAAAACTAGCATCTTTGGAATAAAACACTCCTAACAAGATGCTGTTGGAAGCAAAACTTTTTATGACACAGAAAATGTACAGGGTTATAGCTAGTGAAAAAAATATATATTGACTCATTAAAATATATAGATAAATGAATAGGAAGGGATTATTTCCCTTTTTTAAATGGGGACCACACTGAAGAGAAAGATTGCACCTTCAACTCCAGGGCCAGAGCAACACATGTTGTTGCTCTGTAAAATGCTGTATCTCATATGAGAACCTGACTGTTCTCAGTAGACTAGGGGAAATTTGACAGTGATATGAACAACAGAAGTCCTGAGTCAACCACTGTCATATCCCTCCTAACTGACACATCTACAAGCTCTAGGAAGCATAAACTTTGGGGGATTTTCTGCCTCAGCATGCCCAGAGAAAATTGTTAGTAGATACAGAAAAGGAAAGAATAAACTTTTCCTTAAAACAATGCTCCTCTTTATATCACATTTAACTTTCAACGAAAAGCTAAGAAACTAGTTCCAGCATTCTGTGATCTTGTTAGGTGAGCCCTAAGTAGGGAGTTTTAATATTATTAGGAAAACGTCTCCAAATTAGTGTTTTCATGGCTCTTGCACATGCTAGTGCCCTTATCTTTTGACTCTGGTTTAGAAAGGTCAGCTGGGTCCCCTGGAGGAAACTCTCATTGTGGATTTCCCAACAACAGGAGATGGAACAGCAGCTGTCTTTGAGGCGGATGAAAGGTCCTCAGTTCGCAGCTGAAGAGCAGTGTGAGCTGTGGGGTCAGACCCCGGGTTAGCCTCAGTGGAGGTCACTAGCTGCAGATGTGAGCGGCTGCACACACTGCACTAGGGGAGTGGAACAGTTCTGTGTTTGGCCACGTACCCTGTAAGCTCTGGTACATGCTCCAGTAAATGCGCAGGCAGTTCTTCTCCTTCTTCATGCCCCTCTTACAGCGGCAGTTGTACAGAGATTTCTGCTTGAGAGCTTCCATGGCGCTTCTGCATTCATCCTTCGCCTCCAGGCCTGTCGCCCGGCTGAAGTTGCTCTCTTTGCCGGCTACACACTGCCTCAGTGTCCTGAATTTAGTACTACAGCTCTGCTCCTTGAGACACTGATCGCTGGCTTTCACGCAGTCCAGGCGGTCCCCTCCAGGCAGCCCACTCACTTCTGCAGACAAAAGTACATCTATAGAGGGGAGACATAAACCCACAAACACTATTTGAGGGAGGAGGTGGATTTAATTGGGGCTCCAAAGAAGCAATTAGGAATCACCAGGCACCTCCTCAGGCAGCACATGCAGCCAACCACACGGTCAGCACCTTGCAAACCTTCTGGCTTCATGCTACACCTTAGGAAAAAGCATACAGGGTTTTCATGGACTAAGATCCATTTCTGGGGGAGTCCAAAGAAGCAGTGTGTTTTAACCCTGATGGTTGGTTTACGAGGAAACACAAAAAGGAAATAAAACCCACAGGGGTTAATGTGCCTGACAGACGAGCATTTGTTATTCCATAGATCCACTTTGATGAAGCAAATCAGCTTTCCACTCGTGGGTTTAAGTGAGGGGTTAAATATTCGGCCTCACTTTCCACAAGAGCTTTCCCGTAATTTCAATTACAGCCAGAAACAACCCGCTCAGAGAGGTAAGTATCCTCACTGAATGATACCAGCCTCCTTTGCATCAGGCACTTTTTAAAGGCTGTACACATTTCTGCTTATTCTATACGTATAAAGGTAGAATTTATTATTCTTATTTCTCTCCACGTATGATGCTTTTGCAGGAGAACAAAGCAAATGACATTAACTCTCTCCTCTCCATCGTGCCCCTGCCACGCTCTTTCAGACACATGCGGATGGAAACGTAAACATCTCCTGTGAAAAGGAAACCAGTTTGGGCTGCAAACCACTAGCAGCCGGGCAGGTAGGAAACCAGTTTGGGCTGCAAACCACCAGCAGCCGGGCAAACTGCCAGGTTCAGGTGAAGATGTAATCCTTCAGTGGGTTTTTGTCACCCCCCACCCTCCCCAGGCAGCCTTATTCTATTTAAATGAAAAGTTTCCCTGTAACTTGCAAGAACCCAATTTAACAAGAGGCTACACAGGCAAGTACCGGAGTCTGTAACCTCCCGGAGCTTATAAATGTAGACCGAGCTAACTGATGTGAGGCAGAGCCATAAAAACTACTGGAAACTTCACTGTTCTGCCTAAACAATAGACTGACAACCATCAGGCTTCCGATCCCATAAACCCTATGCTTTGCTTTACGAAGCGATGTACCGACCGAAATCAGGCACCAGCAACTTACCCACTAAGGGCAAAGCGAAGTACAAGAGAAAAAGAAACATCTTGCTCTCTTCGGATGCTTTCCCCAAACGACTTGATGTGTCACAACAAAGAGGATCAGCATGTAGATATTCCAAAACCGCCGAGGTCCAAAGGCTCCAAGTTCATATCCATTGAATTCAGAAGAGGAAAAAAAAAAAAATAACCACAACCAAACCACAACCCCCTCTCCTCTTCACCGCTACCACCACCGGCGGCAGGAACAGCGACGCAAACGCTGAGCTTTTTTCCCTTAGATTTCAGGTCTGAGCAACCTGCCAAGCACAAGCGCTGAGTGCAGTGCGGGAGCGAGAGGCGCACGCACGGGTCTGGGTCTGTGTGTGTGTGTGTCTGTGTGTGGAGTGAGCGAGCGGCAGCGGGGCAGGAGCGCCCGTCCCTCCTCGGGTGGGCAGCGCCTGTTCCCAGGGAGGGACCGAGA